CACATCATGACCTCACACCCACAGGAAGAATGAAGTGGCCCACCATTGCCTAAGTGTGTGTGCGGGTGAAGAAATCTTGGGATGACTTAGGTCTAAAATCATTGTGAAGTCTTTTAAGAAGTGTGACATTAGCAATGCTCTTGATGGCACAGAAGATAATGTGTTATTTGAAGTCAGTGATTCCAGCAGTAGTGACGAAGATGAAGATTTTTCTGGTTTTGAAGATGATTAAAGTGTATCCCCATTTTCTTACTGTGTTTTAGTTTATGTTCAAGTGTTTTCTGCTTGTGTAATGTGCTGTTAGATTACTTTCACCAATATATGCTTAAATACACAAAAAACTTTTTTTCCTGAATCTGACCTGCTGAAATGGGGGTGCGTCTTATATACCCATGTGTCCTATATGCCATCAAATACGGTAGTTTTAATCATGAAACTATCTAATCTATTTTCTTTGTATACATAAACACAAACATTCATACTTGTCTCTATTCAGTATATGATCAGTTTTTATGTGATATTTTTATAAATTAGCATCGTATTCTACATGCTAAGTTAACAACATGTTAACTATTAGTTGCTTCGTGATGTCTGGGCAGTATGAAACACGTCCGACACAAAAGGTGTTGAAATGTGCATGAAAAATATATTTTAAGGATATATGTGACTTTCAGTCTCCTGAAATGTGTTCAATTCTACAACAGCTGAACTGGGGGATTACGATCCGGAAGTTCACACTCCTGGCTTCATTTCAGAATTTCGTTTTGTGCCTGAACAAACTGAAGAAATGGAGCTGGACATCTTGAGCCATTACAAAATGTGCAAGTAGGTTAAGTGATATATAACTCAAAGCAACACAGTGGTGTTTTAAAATATATATAACTCAAACATGTTTAAAATGCATACAGTTTTTTTTGTTTTTGCATGTGTAACTCTAAATTGATGCCCCCCCCCAAGATTTATAAACTAATTTGAAATTTAGTCCAATAAATTTAAAGTTTACTTCAAAAATGCAGCCAGAACAAAAGACTAACTATGAAATTTATTAATTTATTGTTTTAACTAACTTTAATGTTGTGTGAGTTTTTTTTTTTAATGTTCAATTTAAACCTGTAGTTTTTTTGTTGTTGTTGAAGGAACATGTGATGATAGGGACATATCATATAAAACAATGTACTTCAAGTTTGATTAACTTATTTTTAGACTTTAATATACAAGTAAAGTGCTGGTATAGTTTTGACATGTAGTGTGGATATTTTAATGTTTTAGGGATCAAACACCAGCTCAGTCAGAACTTAATTACCTCAGTAAAGCCAAGTGGCTGGAAATGTACGGTGTCGACATGCACACCGTACTGGTATGTATTTATTTTTTTTCCAATACAGAGAAGTGAATTAAGGAATTATATGATAAACGTTTTATGAAAATCTTCTTGTATATGTTTCCAATTGTAATAGATTAGATATTTACTCAATTATAATATCATAACTAGGACACTACTGACCAGCTAAGGAACTTAAGTCATAAATGCAAGATTTTTTGTTAGTAATTTGTGGGGAATCTAATTGCATGTCCCTTGGTGGGACAATGATAAGTTTATGGACTTACAGCTCTAAAATCTTGGGTTCAATTCCCTGCAGTGGACACAGCAGATAGCTCAGTTTGGCTTTGCTCTAAAAATAAACAAACAAATTATGATCTAATTGCATATATTATATCCTAAAATGAATTAAGGAAAGTTGTGATGGTTGTTACATAGAGTTGGGTGATTGATCGATACAATCAATTATCTATGAGAATCTATCGCATCTATTGGTGTCATGTAAAATAATCTATTAATCAAAATTAGGTTAAATCAGTTAATTGAAATTATAATTTCCAGATGTTACTGTTTTCAGTTATCCTGATTATGATTTCTTATTATTATTTTCAACTAATTCAAAGTTGTTCATTTTAATTGGCTAGTTTCAGGACTCATGAAAGTAATCAACTAATCGTTAGTCTTATATATACAACAAATCAGAGTTAGTGTTTCTGATTATTACTATTTTCGATTGTTCCATCTTCTGTTGCCATGACGGTTTGCATGCATTCTGCTTTGTACACAACTCATGAATGTGAAGGTGTGGTTTAATGGCTGTTAGTTACCTGTCTGCAGTGAGGCCTATTGTTCATGTGTACCAAATAATAGTGCAACTTTATCTTAATATACTACTAACTTTTTGCCAGCTACAAGTGTAACCAGTGTTACCTAGGGTGAGGCTGCTTTAATATAAAAAGAAAGTTCTAGCAAGTTAATATTCAATATTCTCTCAAAGACACATTGATTACTGACTAACATGCTCATTTAACTATGTTTTTCATAAATTATTAGACAGGGGCTAATAACAGTCCAACAATATTGAATACATTTAAGTCGTTTATGTATTTACACAAACAAGTAGTCTTCTGTTTAATCTTGTATATATTGTGAACCGTGGCTGGTTAATTGTGTTACACTCTTGGTTTCACACAGAGCCAAAGCCCTGAGCTACTTATACTGCTCACCGCGAAAGGTAATTATTGAGCATTTCAGTCATGCTAAGAGCCACTCAACAATAACATACGTAAATCTACATTTTTATTCTTTAAGTTACGTCACATTCTGAAATGTGAATGGTAGTGTGATTAATTCCCAACCATTTAGTGTAGAATATCCTGCAAAATAAAATTTGGCATTAACATTATTCATGCCTGTTCTCCTGTCATTTCAAAAGTAAAAGATGAGCTTTGACTACACATGCAGCTTTTCAAATGCAGGAAGCAGCCACTGTAAATGGGAGACGGACGAATGCTCAAACAGACTTTTAAAGTCCACGAAATAATTTAAATTGATAGAGTAACTTAAACAAAAGTACCTGTCACTGGGGACGGGTACTTTTGGTTGTTAGAAATAGCTCCAGTTCTGAAAAGGGAAAACAAGTCTATCACTTACACTATCTTGCAGAGTAAACTTTAAGTTGTTCGTTTTATTGGTTTTTAGCACACACATATGTAAATGTACAGTTTCTTCCAGTCTGTGCTATGAAATTTAAACATATTCATAAGTTTAATGTGTTCCTTCTAAACTTCTGACCATTTCAGTGACTTCTTGCACAGTCTTGGTCCCTGGGACTGACCTCATAACCATTTTGTGCTTGTTATAATTTTCATGCTATAACTTTTAAATTAGTAAGCAAGTGTTAACAAAATTTGACAGATTATTAGCAAACATTACAATACTTTCATATGCAAAATATCAAATTGTTTTCATTAAGTCTTAAGGTTTGTAAAGCAATGTTTTTCTTATGTTTGTTTCTTTTTGCATGTTGCCTATCTATCATGCAAATTAATATTAATTTTAAGATTAAAAATACTTTTATGCATAAGAAAATTTTGAAATTTCACATGCAAAATCTTTATAATGTCCAGATAGTTATCAAAAGTTTTATAAGAAAAAAAACTTTTATCTGTTATTTTCAATAATTAGGGGTTCGGTAGATTTGAACAATCTCACAACCACCATAAAAATTAGGAAATAAATATAAATTATGCCTCTTTCATTCTAGAATGAA